CTGTCAAGCAACGAAGCCACAGTAGATAAAGCAATTTCCTTACCCACACTGACCCCATGGGGTCACTCACAGTCAGAACCTTCATAAATAGTGAGCACTCGCTGACTTGCTGTAACTTTGTCTTTCTCAATTATTTAATTTCTTTCCATGTCTGTCCCTCTATTCATCTCGGTTTCTTTCTTTCTTTCATTTTTTTTGTGAGGAAGATTAGCCCTGAGCTAACATCCCATGCCAATCCTCCTCTTTTTCGCGGAGGAAGATTGGCCCTGGGCTAACATCCGTGCCCATCTTCCTCTACTTTACATGGGATACCACAACAGCATGGCTTGATAAGCAGTGCGTCAGTCGGTGCCTGGGACCCGAACCTACCAACCCGGGGCCACCGAAGTAGAGCTTGCCCAGTCAACCGCTACACCACCATGCTGGCCCCTGTCCCTCTATTCATTATCTATTGCCACTGTAATAAATTACTGGAAGCTAAGAGGCTTAAAACACTGCAAATGTATCACCCCACAGTTTCTGTAGACAACCTATAGCAGGATCTTGTTTTTTGATTCTGAAAATCTCTTTGAATTGGTCTTTGAATCAGTCTTTTGCCATTCAAACGGATTACTGATAAAGTTGGATTAATATCTACCATGTTTGTTACTAATTTCTACTTTGTTCCAATTTTTGTCTTCCACTCTTTTTCTACTTTGTGGTTTTAATTGAGCATTTTATACGATTCCATTTTTGTCTCCTTCTTAACATCTCAGTTATACTTCTTTTTTTTTTACTTTTTTAAGTTGTTGCCCTAGAGTTTGCAATCAACATTGACAGCTAATCCAAGTCCACTTTCAAATAACACTATACCATCTCCCAGGTAGTGTAAGGACCTTATACCAACAAAATCACCCCAATTCCTCCCTCCAATCACTTGCATCATTGATGTCATTCATTTTACTTACATAAAAGCATAATAAGCATATATATACACACAGACACATAGATAGGCATACATAATACATTGTTGGTATTACTATTTTGAAGAAACCGTTCTCTGTCGATCAATTAAGAATAAGAAAAATAATACTTTTTATTTTACCTTCACTTATTCCTCCTTGGATGCTCTTCCTTTATGTAGATCGAGTTTCTGACCTAGATCATTTTCTTTGTCTCTAAAGAGGTGCTTTTAATATTTCTTGCAAGGCTGGTGCTGTGGTCTCAAGGTTTGTGTCCCCCCAAGATTCATGTTGAAATCCTGACCCCTAAAGATGATAGTATTAGGGGGTGGGGTGGTTGGGAGGGGCTTAGGTCACGAGGTTGGAGCCCTCATGAACACGATCAGTGTCTTTATGAAAGAGGTTGGGGAGAGATCCCTAGCTCCTTCCACCACGTCAGGACACAAGAAGGGCTATGAACCAGGAAGAGGGTCCTCACCAGAGAACTCGCCCAGGCTGGCACCTTGACCCTGGACTTCCCAGCCTCCAGAACTGTGAGAAATAAAACACTTATTTTTTATAAACTACCCAGTCTGTGGTATTTTGTTATAACAACCGGAATGGACTAAGGCGGCAGGTTGACTGGCAACAAATCCCCTCACTTTTTGTTTGTCTGACAGAGGCTTCCTCTCCCCTGCACTAATGAAGGGTACTTTCGTCAGGTACAGAATTCTAGGAAAGTGATTTTTTCTCTCAACACTTTAAATATCTCATCCCTCTCTTCTTGCATGGTTTCTGAGGAGAAGTTGAGTGTGATTCCTATCTTGTTCCCCTACAGGTAAGGTATTTGTCCCCTCTGGCTTCTTTCAGGATTACTTTCTCAATTTGATTTTCTGCAATTTGAAAATGACAAGCTACATGGAGCTTCTGTTATTCATCCTGCTGAGTGTTCTCTGCGCTTTCTGCCTCTGTGGTCCGCTGTCTGACATTCATTTCTCCCTCGACAACACACCGCGGACAGCCCAACCGCGGACTTGAGTCCCGACGGTCACGTGCGCCGCAAGGGGGCGCCCAAGTGGCGGGCCCGGCGGCTCCGAGCGTCCCCGGGCGGTGGGGCGGTGGGGCGGAGGGC